CTACCAGTGAGTAGGCTAGCTGGTAGGATGGGAGTATGGCATAGCAGCAGCAGAGATGGTGGCTCCGCTGCAGTCAGTCTTGCCGGAATGAGGTAAAGTGGTTCGATGGGGGGTTTTCTGAGTAGTTTCTGAATTTTGCTTAATCATGAACTTGTCATAGACATGTCTGAAGTTGCTCCAATTTCTCCTAGCCAAAGCCGGGCAAGGCCCCGGTATCTCAATTTCCAAAATTCCATCCTTAGGCCAATTAGATTTTTCTAGTAGTTCCTTGTCTCATTTTCATGGAATTTTCTGATGAATTTTTCTGAATGTGATCGTTATGGGACGCTGGGCCCGGTTCCCAGTTTGTGCCAATTAGTGAGGATCCAGTTTGTGCCAATTAGTGAGGATATGGTTGTATCTATGGGACGCTGGACCCGGTTTCCAGCAGGAGCTGCTCCCCACCAATAGATGGAGCTTGTTTCCAAAAAAAAAAAACAGGGTCTGATCCCATACTACTTAGGGTAAGTAAAATTTAAAGTGGGGTTTTGCCAGATCCCACATGATTCTGCAGACGAAGTCCGCTGCACAAGCTTCGGAGGCAAGTAGAAACGTTTGAAGTTGTGGAGGGCAGGGGATGATAGTCGCCCAAAAAGCTTGAGGGAATTTGGAAGACAACTGGGCCCGTACCCTCCAGCGAAAAAGAAGGGCTTTTTTTTTTTTTTTTTTTTTTTTTTTTTTTTTTTTTTTTTGTGTTTGTTTTTGATGGTTTGTCCGTGGTCCGTTTGTGGTGTGACACGGCAGGCACCAGCGGGGCTACACGGCAGGCCCGCGGGGCTGTAAAGTGGACCATTTCCGGGTCCGTAAAAGAACCTGTCCAACCAAAAGCGCTGATACCCATGTGAAACCTACAGAGTAGTACGGAGGATACGGGAAGGTGGGGTCCCCGTTTCCTTTTACGGGTGGACAGGAGCGGGCCCAGCTTTCTCGGTACTTTTACGGATTCTAGTTCGGTAAGTGGTGTGGGATCAGAGCCTAAGCCTGCGCTAGTGGGACAAGGCCCCTGATCTTCTGAAGGATAAGTGCTCGTGCTTGTTACCCAAATGAAAACTCCCCCATGATGGTACGGTCATACCACAGCTACATACCACAGCTAATGCGCCCGATCCCATCTGAACTCGGAAGCCAATTGTCGTTGGGCAGGAATAGTACTGGGATGGGTGACCTCCTGGGAAGTCCCGGTGCTGTACATATATAGAAAAGAAAAAAAGAAAAAGAGGGAAGTACTTTCATGTCACACCAGAGTTCGTAATTGGCAAAAAAAACATGCAGCAGCAACTTTGTCATGGCCTGAGTTCAAAAAGGCGGTTGTAACTCAGGCCGGCAGTGGAGTGAGGGCTGTAGTTTGTAATAGGCACTTGTGTTGCGTCGGTACCGGTCCGTTCGCAGATACCGGGCCGTCCAACATTTTTCCGGAGCCTGTCCCACCCGTTTAGGCAGAGCACGGGACTGGTTACTGTGGGCCGAGCACCTTCGTGCTCCCACAGTTCCATTGTGGCTACCGGCTTGCCTTGAGCCAGGTGAGTGCTGCCTCGGAGCCACGTGTCGAAAGGCGCGCACACACACACACACACACACACACACACACACACACACACACAGAGAGAGAGAGAGAGAGAGAGAGAGAGAGAGAGAGAGAGAGAGAG